ATGCGACACCTGAGAACCAACAGAACTTACAGAATAACCGAGTTGGCAGGGACCTGCTAGTCCAATCCCATGCTGAAGCTGGAAAGCCCTACACCATTCCAGACAAATGGCTTTCCAAATTATTCTTAAAAACTTCCAGTGATGGAGCACCCAAAACCTCTGGAGCCAAACTCTCACAGTTACTGCTATGGAGCCACATATCACCTATTCTATACCTGTGCATTCATTTTTTCTTGCCTAAGTGTAAAGCCATATTGTTCTCACCACTGAAATGCAGAGATAAGTAATAAAAAAATATGGCTCCCATGAGATCCTTTGTAACTGAAGCAGCAGGAAACATTCAATGTAACCAACACTCACAGCTTTTGGAACCCAGCTCTCCTTCTCAATTTCAGTTAATCTTCTGTGTCCCACAGGACTCCTAATAAGGAGTGGTAAGGCCACACTTGGACTTCTGCCTCCAGTTTTGGTCACCACAATGTAAAAAAGATGTTGAGACTGTAGAAAGAGTGCAGAGAAGAGCAACAAAGATGCTTAGGGGACTGGAGGCTAAAACATATAAGGAACGGTTGCTGCAATTGGGGATGTCTAGTTTAACGAAGAGAAGGATGAGGGGGGACGTGATAGCAGTGTTCCAGTATCTCAGGGGCTGCCCCAAAGAAGAGGGAGTCAAGCTATTCTCCAAAGCGCCGGAAGGCAGGACAAGAAGCAACAGGTGGAAACTAATCAAGGAGAGAAGCAACCTAGAACTAAGGAGAAACTTTCTGACAGGTAGAACAATTAACCAGTGGAACAACCTGCCTCTAGAAGTGGTGAATGCTCCAACACTGGAAGTTTTTGAAGAAACTTGACAGCCATTTGTCCAAAATGGTATAGGGTTTCCTGCCTGAGCAGGGGGTTGGACTAGATGACCTCCAAGGTCCCTTCCAACTTTATCATTATTATTATTATTAACCCTCAATTAAGACTGCAGGGATATTTCCAACTCTGCATATTCTCTGTCTTCAGAGAAATAGAAATCTCCTGGATGAGGAGGAATACTTCAACGAAAGCCAAATCAGTCTGTGCTTCATCTGAGTGCCACAAAGACCCACCAGGAAGCAGAGCAGCTGTTTTCCCAAAACCCACCCATAAAAAGGTGTCGCCCATGATAGCAGTGCCAACCCCAGATTTCCACCACTTACTTCTAAGGGCTCTTCCCAAAGTCCAGCCATTGGTGAACATGGCCGAGCATTATCATCGTGGACTATAGAGTTTGGGCAGCAATTCAGTAAGGAATTTTCTTTGACCCATTCGGACACTGCAAGTCCTGAGCCTCCCATCTTTTATAGCCATAACAGGTTAGATGTTCAACTAAGTCTGCTGCTCTTCTCGGGGCTTTTGTAACAGCTAACAAACAGGAGTGTTTCAATACAAGGAAGATGCACCGTTGCCTTAGGTAAGAACTATTTTGCAATACTTCACTGAGGTGATATGATGCAATCATTACAACTCCATAAATAGAGAGCCAAGTCTGTCCCAGGAGTAAGATTTGGTCCAGAACCAGTCTCAGCATGAAGATCCTTTATCTGCTGTCCGCATTTCTTTTCCTTGCATTCCTGTCTGAACCAGGTAAGAAATAAAATTACTGATAATTTACAAAGGATTGGTAACTCACACCTTTTTAAACAAATACGAATATCACTGAAAGCAGGATAATCTCCAACATCTTTTTGTTTTACTTTACAGAAATAGCTTTGAACAGTATAGACAATTGACAACATGAGCCTCCAAAGATTTGAAAAATAGGCCATTGATTTTTCTTTTGATTCACAATTCTTGAAAGAACTTTATTGGGGTTTTTGTTATTGTAGCTTATTTTTGTTGATTTGCTTCACTTTAACATTGGTTTACCAAATTCTCAGCTCACTCAAGGTCTTCGTCCAAAACACACAATGCAACTGGCCACTGTAACTCAGCAAGGATCCATGGCAATACTGGAGAGAAATATATCACAGTAAGGTCTATCCTTCATATGAAATAGAATTATTTCTTCCCTCCTACATTAATAGATGTAGGCTTACCAGCTATTTCATCTTTGAGTCAGACTTCAAACCTGGGTTAATGGCTGATTTATTTGAGCTGCTGCAGGAGATCAGCAGAGATGGATCTGTGTGGTCAGAGAAATCTTGCTGTGGTCCTAGGAATCCTGCAATTGTTGGAAGGATGCTTCCATTCTCATCTTGGATGAACGGTTACAAAAGCTGATGGAGTTAGCAGAGATGGCTAAACTGACAGTTTTGATAAAAGAAAAGAATATAAGTACTTTTGTTTGTACTTGGATACTGCTTCTGGACTTTGTGCTATAATTTGCTATGATTTGTGCTATAATTTGCTATGATTTGTGCTATAACTCTATAATTTCACACAGTCTCATTCTTCCCTTTCAGTTTATTTATTTATTGCTTTGCGATTACTTTGCCACCGATGTCTTCCAGCTAATGTAGTTTCTTCAGCAGAAATAGTATAAAATCAGATTGAAGCTATTCACTAAGATCTTGGAAAGGAGCAGGGAAAAAATTCTTAAGGTTATTTTTTCTCAAGTCAAATAGCCTTGGATACAACTTAGAATAAGAATGACTTAATATCAGCACAGCCTGGATCTTGATAAAGGAAATGAAGATGTAGCAATAGGAAATCCGCAAGAGAGAGAGAGAGGATCCTTTCCTGGCCCAATCTTTTTGTTAAACAGACAGACCAACAGATGTTATGAAATTGATTAGATACCATCTAAACAAATAAATAGACTACACAATAAAACCACATTATCTGAGGGTGAGTCACATAGGACCTGATGCAGGCAAACAAACACAGCCAACATGTGAGAGATACTATTGTGGACACTATTACACCTATGCTAATAAAAGGGTGTGATCTAACAATGTACACAGGTGAAAACATAATTTGCACAACCAGTATCCATACAAGCCTGAAACTATTCAATTCCTCCCCCCTCTCAACTTTCATTCACACACTTTCTACTTCTCTTTTATTGCAATGTCTACATTTATAAGGGGATGTAAATATTTAACTTGTGGCATAAATCATCCTATAAAATGTTAAAATCTCAACTATGAATCAGACCTCACTGAAAATAATTATTAAAATACAAATAGTAATTACCAGAGTAGGTCTACGGCCAATAGTTAACATATATCCATTCTTTATTAACCTTTTAATGCAGCATTTTTTACAACACAGGCAGGGTACACGTAACACAGAAATCAGCCGGAAGCATCATGGCAGTTCTAAAGCAAGGGATCTTCACAGCTTGACACTTTATTGTTAAACAACATGTCAGTTTGTTCCCATTTCCCTCTTGGCACATACAGTACTCATTACACAAGATAATTGACCGTTTCTGGGGTAACACCAGGAGCTCAACATTATTTCTAGACTTCAGTGCACTTTCAGAAATACAGCTAGCCTCTGCCTGCTCCCTGCGGTTCTTGAGCAAAGAACTACCTTACTAATAATTGACTTTCTTTTCAGATTGGCTAGTTTTGCCATTTGTCGCCTCACTGACCCACTAATACTCACTGCCTGGGAGGGCAAGGTGGGCAGGGGGGAGTCCTCAGAAAGGGGCTCCCCCCTCAAGGCAAAGAGCCCTTTCTAACTCCAATTCTGTCACTGGCAGGAGAAGAAAGGAGGTTTGGGTCTAGTAAACCCTGCAATGTTCTCCTCTCTTCTCCAGCCCTTCTTGTTCAGCTGAGTGAAAGAGTCCAACGGAAGAGTGAGAAATTCCTACACCTGCTGGCTCTTCCTGATGATGCAAGGAACTAAGCCTGTTGCTACTGTACATCAACACATACTTCCCCGAGTTCCCCCAGGTGGCAGCCCATAATTATGTTCCAGGAAAATATGGGGTAGCCGTACTTAGTTTGCATCTAAGGCAGTGTTTCCCAAACTTGACAATTTTAAGGCATGTGGACTTCAACTCCCAGAATTCCACAGCCAGCATTCTGGGAGTTGAAGTCCTGATGCCTTAAAATTGTCAAGTTTGGGAAACACTGATCTAAGGTGATGTTGACTGCATAATGATCTCATAATATTGTGAAGACAGGCATTGTGTTCTAAGGTTTTGACTGTTCCTCCACCGACCTAGTCTTTATGTGCCCCAGATGAGGAATGGGAGGGAGACAAAATCTGCCCTTGGAGATCAAAGCCATGGGAATCCTGCAGAAGCAGCCTGGATGGTTTCCGGAGTGGGAGAGCTATCTAGGGGCATCTAGGGGTGCTGGGGAGAAGGGAGGGGTCTTCCACTCAGAATTGCCCCCTTGATCTTTCCTCTCTCCCGCAGAGCTGCTCTCCCTCCCTCCCCCCTGATGGCAAATGTCTCCTACACCAGGAATGGCTTCGGCTGGACTTTCTGCTCTGGCCCCAAGAGGCCCTGGGGAAGACACCCTTCCCAACACCCCCTGCCCAGGAGCCCTCAGACCAGGGAGATGGACATCAGGGCGACCTTCCCAGAGATCAAGGCCATTGGCCACAGGACCACTCAGGGCCTTTTCTGAAGGGGGGGGGTCTCAGATGAGCTCCAGTTGGGGGCCAAACGAGATTAACCCAGGACTCTCTCTGTTGGAGACCCTCTGCCCAGAGGGCGGGGGCTTCAGACGCGAAGGCAGGAAGGGCTGTGGGGCTGCAGTAACGATAGTTTGGCAGTCTGGGGCAGGACCCTCCAATTGTGAAGGAGAGAAATGGCAGAAATGCCAGTAGGGGGAGTCTCAGGTATTTCCCAGTGGCTCCCCACAAGTGCTTGAAGGGGACCATGCCTCCTGGCATCCTGGTCCTCAAAAGGAGGCTTGAGGGGAAGCAGAGCAAGGGGGCCTCTGAGCAGGAGGGGAGTCCTGCCCCTCCCTGGATCTGCCCACCCTCCTCCCAAACCAGTTTTGACTTCGGACCTGAAGTAGTCGGGATGGTTGATCCAGAGGCAGGGGAGGTGTCAATCTGGGGAGGGGAAGGGGAGAAGGGTGGACCCTCCTGTGGGGAAGAGGGAGGAAAGAGGAGGAGGAAGAGAAAGGAAGGAAGGAAGGAAGAATTCCAGGATTTTTCCTACAATGTTTATTCTTTTATAGCAAAGCGAAGGGATTCGGACAAAGAGTAATGAAGATGAAGCTGCTGTGGATTTAAAGCTGGGAGAGATTTAGGTGTCTGGACTGACAGGCAGGCTCAGAGTCCCAGGGGTCAGTCTAGATGGTCTCCACTGCTCCCTCACAAGAAAGAGAGGCCTTCAAAGGAAAGCCAGAGGGGTCTCAGCAGGAGAGGCTCCAGACTGCCATTCTCCTCCTCCCCCCAATCTAAAATCTTGACCCTCTATTTTTCAGAGGTCGCAAAAAAGAGACAGAAATTCATCAGTTAATGGAAAAAAGCCCCTTCCTTTCCCACCAGGAAGCAGGAAGGATGGCAGGATTAATTCATGAGTGCTGAAGAAAAAGAGATGAGGAAAAATGGTAAATAACATATTATTATTACAGCCCCCCCAGGAAGACCCACACTGCAGGGAGGTGGTTGATAGGCAGGGGCAGAATGAGGGAGAACCACTCCCCCCTTTTTCAGGGAGGAAAAGGATGCAAAGGACCAGCAATTCATCTTCTGGGGCTGATGGAATTTTCCCCAAATGAATTAATTGGGGGGGGGTAATCAAGAGAGGAGGTTCCCCCCCCCAGATGTTTCATATGAACAAAGAAGATGGGGCCAGGATGGACCATGGCAGCAAAGGTGGGTGTCGCTTGGCCAGGAATTGTGTGAAATGTCACAAGGAGACTTCCCTTCTCTTTTGCAATTTCCCAAAAGCTGGAAACATCCTGGGACAGATTTTAGTGTTTATGTGTGTGTGTTTGTTTTTCATTGCACTGTTTTCAGGTCTCTGAAAGGAAAAGCTGCCCAAAATTTCAAATATTTGTTTTATCCACAGCAAGGAGGTTTTATTCAGGCACATTTCTTTTTTTAAAAAAAGGAACAATTAACGAATGTTAAAGAAACATCTATAACTTGAGGAGAAACTCACCTGCAGGAGGCTGGATGGGAGTAGCTGAAAGGAGAAAAAGAGCCAATCAGGACCCTTCATGGGCTGGAGGACTCAGGGGGTCCCCCTCCCCATCGATAGCCCATAATAGGTTGCAGGATGCTCTCTTATACAGTAGACTCTCCGAGAACAGAATTTCCCAAGCAAATCTCCAAGGGGACCTTCTTGCCATCTGCTAAGCTTGCTGAGAGGCCTCCCCTGGATGGTCCCCTCCCCCACAATCTCTCATCCAGCCCCCCAGACTCACCTTTCTTGCTCTTCAGGTAGAGGGAGAGCCCCATGGCAAAGAAGATCACCCCGATTACGGCCACCACGATCCCTGTCCAGAGTTTGCTCCTGGCCGAGTTGGAGGAACGGGGCTCTGGGGAAGGAGAAGGAGCCTCACTGAGTAGGAAGATCAGGGCCAGCTTCCCTCCCAGGAGGGTCGATCCCAGCTCCCCACACAGGGAGGGTCTCTCCCCCCTTCTCAGGGCAGGAGGGGGTCCCCAGACCAGAGGGGAGGGGCTCACTCCACTGGATGGTGATGGGGGCCTCCACCCTCCTCCTCCGGCCGGCCATTTTTCAGCCACCGGACCTCGATCTCCACAGGGTAGAAGCCCCTCGCGATGCAGAGGAGGATGGTGTTAGGGGAAGTGGGATCCAGCTTGGTGGGGGAGATGGAGACTTGGCTGGAGGGCAGGAGGGCAAGAGAGAGACCTTGCTGAATTCCTCCCCCCGCCAGAAAAAATACTTGGTATAATATTCTGCAAAGAAGTTTTTCTGGGCAGGGGAAACTTTGAACCGTGGGAAGAGAAGGAAGATCGTGGGTCTGATGGGAAGGAGAGGAATCTATTTCTTCCCTTTGGCATGTTCCATTGTCATCCTTGTAGAATTTCAAACTTTTTAAGGGTAATTTATTTTTATGCTTATTTTTATACTTCTTTATTTAGGGGTGATATTATATCCTACGCCATCCAGAGCCCCGCTTTCAGGGAGGGGGGGGGCGGTCTAGGAGTGTCCATAAATAGCAATAAATACCAATGATTAATTTTCGTATATCGGAGAGCACAGAATACACAAGGAGCAAATCTTTATCCGGGAGAGTGCTAATAAATGAAATGAAGCGGGGGGGGAGGGGGGCGTCCGGGCATTCCCCCCCCCGTGGAACTCCCCCTCACTAAATCACTAAATTTTAGAATGAACTTTATTGTAATATCTATATCAAATTTTAATTTCATTGGATTTATTAAACTAGAATAAAACTGTGAGGAAGAAATAAACTTTTGACCAGTAGGATCTGGCAAGTTTTTTTCTTTGAAAGCAGTCCAAAATTATCTCCAGTTAAGATAAAAAGAAAAATTTCCTTACAAATATGGGCTGTCAACCTTAAAAATGCTCTTTATTTGTATGTATATTTGTTCAATTTATATGGCTGCCATGCCAGTGAACTAAAACTAAAACTGGCTGACTAATTTCTAAAACTATAGTGAGGTGAGATGGAGGTGAGGTCATGAGAATGTGTCCCTCAAAAAGGGTGAATCAGGCATCTTTTGGTGCCCCACATGGGTCATGAGTGTGAGCCCTGTGTGGGAAATGGATACTCAATACAACATAATCAACACAAGGTCCTTTCTGTTGAAAGAATACAATTAGGTGACATAATTTGACAGGGAAATACATACCCATATTTATTATTAGTTTGATTTGTAGCCTCTCAGCATGTCCTAGGGCAGCTAACAATCAAGATAAACAGTTGCATTCAAGGGATTTTCAGATGAAGGGCATTCTTACAAGCCAATGCCCAAATCTAAGTAATATTAGGTTCTCCTGCTTGAATAGGTTCTCCTGCTTAAGCAGGGGGTTGGACTAGAAGACCTCCAAGGTCCCTTACAGGTCTTCTCTTCTATTCTATTCCCCTTATTATTTCTGATATCAAGATTTTTTTTGCACCAAAGTCATGTTTCAGTACTTCAGTTTTCAAGTCATTATCATGGTGAGATGGGTAGCAAGTAAATTTAATCAATCAATTCATAATTGTGCTCACATCAGACCAGTCATTATTATTTTATGTGAACTGAAAGCCTTGGATCTCCTTCCTAAATTCCACTATCCCAGTGTGGGTTAAAGAGAGGCAGGTGTAACTATGGACTCAGCTGATTAAAAACATCCCAGACTATGAACCTGCAATTTTGGGAGACCCCTGACTCCAACCAGGACAAAGATGAACCTTATTTCCAAATTGGACTAACAGGACCTCCATCCACTCTGGATTCCCTTTCCTCAGATTCAGTCCAAATCTGAACTCAGGGACTGGTCAACAGAATTGCCTTCATCTTTCATACGTGAAGGCAAAAAACTAGTGAACTTGAAGCTATTAGCACCAAAATCTCCAGCCTATGAGGCCCTGTCTCACCAGTTTTATGGTGGTACTAAACTGCCGAGGGACACTAAATGGCAATGATTTGTGTCCTAAATAATAATCACCCCATCTCTCATTTTGGATCAGCTTACAACAGGGTTCAGCATGACAGCATCAGAAGGGAAACCTTGGTCAATAGAACTGAAGCTTGCTTATCTGCCTAAGAAAGTTATAGGGGTTTTACTCCACACATTCAATTCTCAGTGAAAGTTACTCACTTTTTTGATTAGGTTTAGCCCACTTGAAACAGCTTTGGAAAAAAGAGAAAAGAGATCAAAATTTTCCCCACCTTCTTGAGGAACTTTAAGTATGACAAAGCATCTTGGTTGATTGTAAGTCTTTGTCTTTCAAAAGTGCCCAATTGCTTGTTGATGGGATCCTCCTTGGGAAGAACCACCCTACTCAAGATCTGCTACTACGTTTTCATTCTGATCCAAGTACACTTTCAGCAGGGAAAGATTGTACAATTCCCTCTTCTTTAGAAATGGATGGAACTAGAATGGAAACATCCAGGAATTTAAAAGCTTAAATCTTGGTTCCTTATCTCTTTTTACATTTGAATCTTTCTTCTATGGTTGTTTAACTTGCAAATACTGTGATTTGGGAGAAATAGTTTTACCATTATCTTCAAAACTGAAGTACAAATATTAAGCAATATTTCTAAAGCATGTAGTATATGCAGGGCTTTTTTTCTCATAGAACGCCCAGAATGGAGTTCCGGCACCTTTTTTGGATGGAACCTTGTAGGGTAGGCAAGGCGGGTTGTATGACATGTGTGAGTTCCGGCACCTTTTTTTTTTTTTAGAAAAAAAGCACTGAGTATACTAATAAAATGTAGCAATGATCAAGAATCAAGTAAACAAAATACACAAATAACTACAGTATGCATAAACTCTTTGCAAACAATAGGGTGATTACTAGAAAGCAAGGATTTGTTAAGAAGGAAGTTGCAAGGCTAATGTTCATTCAGCTAGAGGAGATAGGAAAAATGACCAGATGAAGTAATTCTACTTTATTGTAAAGCTATATTAACAAAATCTTGCAATGTGAAAGTATAAATCTTTCACTATCTCTTTTGACAGTCATGTATCACCTATTTCTTCTTTCCTTTAGACTGGTCAAACCCAACTTCCGCAGCTGTTCTTCATACATTTTGGTCTCCAAGCCTTTGATAATCTTAGTTGCTCTTCTCTGAATTTTTTCAAGACTCTCAACATCTTTTTTGTGGTATGGTGACCAAAATTGGCTGCAGTATTCGAGGTGTGGTCTTATTAGGGCTTTATAAAGTGATACTAGTACTTTGCATGATCTTGAATCTATGCCTCTGTTTATACAACCCAGGATTGTATCAGCTTTTTTGGTTGGTGCTGCACACTGCTGGCTCATAATTAAGTGATCATCCACCAAGGTCCCTCTCACAGTTGCTGTTCCCAAGTCAGGTCTTGCCCAATCTGTATTTGTGTCAACGCTGCTAATATTGAATATTCTTGCTTTGACAAAATATGCAGATGAGAATAGGAGAGGAGAGAAAAGCATGAGGAAAGGAACGGAAGTGAATCTTTGCCCTACAAGTTAATTGGAAGATGTGAATCATGACGCCAAAATAGGGGAGGGGAAATGCCTGGAATGTTATGTGCAAAGGACGGGAAATTCAGATCTTAGCATTCCTCCATGCCGTGCTGACACTCCTTTACACTAATAAAGGCTTTTTAGGTTAAACAATGCCTGAAAGTTCTTTGAAGTGTTTCATTAGTCAGACACATGACAATTTGTTCCTTTGGTTTTTCCTGCCTAAAGGTAAGACTTTGCTTTTCTCCACATTGAAACTCATTGTGTTGGATAGGGCCCATTGTCAAGTTTGTCAAGATCTTTTTGGAGCCTGAGTTTGTCTTCTGGGATGTTGGCTACTCCTGACAGTTTGGTGTCATCTGAGAATTTGATGAGTTCCCCTTCAATTCCCTCGTCTAAATTGTTTATAAAGGTATTAAAGAGTACTGGGCCTAAGACAGAACCTTGTGATACCCCCC